GCCTAATGATGGAGGTTAAGAAACGTCAAACAAAGGTCGGACTTGAGTGCTTATCTTGGACTAGACAGCTACTGACCACAAACATTTCTGTGTGGCACTGACAACAATTGAATTGCGAGATGTGCGACCCAGCCTCACACAAACAGGCCGAGCTGTCGTGAGCCATAGGATGCATGGTGCAATCCGCCATTTTCTTTTTGGACGTTATGGGGGTAGGCAAAATGCGCACACCTCTGCAAGCCTTCGAGAAGTTCTCCTACCCGGTTTTTCATAACCACATGCTGCCATCCCTTTTTCTCCATCTGCTGTGTACAGCCATGCAAGAGGCTGGTTGCCGTTCATGTGGTACAGTAGTACAGTATATAGTATATCAAGGGATTTCTCGGTGCTTTATCACAAATCTTAGCAGCTCGAGAATGCAGCACAATTCGACAAGCTCTCAGATAGTAATCGAAAAAAGCATACCTTTTGGTAGGTAATCTTGGTCCAGAAGGATCATCATCTTCCTCCTCCTCATCATCATCATCATCATCATCAAAGACAGCGGCATCAGTGTTTGCACTGATGCTTCACTGCCGTACAACTAACCCTCAACGCGCCCTTGGTCTCTGGTGACAGAGCTTGACGTCGATGGTGAGGCTCAGCCCGTTAAGTAACACACACTTTCCCCACATCCTCGAGACCGCCGCTTTACAGCTACTTCTGGCCTCTAGTTGGTGGTCATCGGTCTATCACCCGCAGGTTAGCGGATGTTTGCCCTTCTGTTTTTCCTCCCCTGCTAGGCTTCTTTGTTCTCCCTCCCTACCTGTTACAGGTCACGCAACAGTGTTGCGCCAGAAAGGCTGGAAGGCCTCTTGCCATACAAAATGTGACCAAAGTAATTAGCAGAATCGTTCCATCACCATTACATTTGATTTCCCCGCACAGGCTTTCGGAGTTTCTAGTAGCCCAACAGCCAATTGATTATCTATACTAAGTGACACTCGACTTTGCTACTTTCTTAATAAAAAAACTCACGAGTGCAATGAAGCGTTAGATGGGCGGCCTACTGTTGTCTCCCCACTATTGGTATCGCTCCCACATTCCCGGCCATGGAGCGCGTATTCGGCCCCAAGATTTTAGCTGGCGCGTCTCATTTGTTTATTTGTATTTACGATAGCCCCATCTCTGGCTCACGCACGCAGCGACGACGGATGCACAACTAAGCTCTCTCCAACAATACCTATAACATGTTTACAGTTCCACTTACGAATACATGTAAAAAACGGTCACTCTGGGAATGCTCATTTAGCGCGGATTTGTCCATCTACTCAGTCTGCTCAGTCGTAACTATGCCATCATTTTGCACATCCGCTTGTCACTGTGTGTCACGCAAGTGCTCCCTCGTCGCTTAGCCAGAGCATGTAAGCCCGAACGTATTCATTTTACGCTCACTGCGCCATTAGTAACTGCCAATTTACCGCGTCCACCAACTACCTGATTTGATGCTCGGTTGAAGTGTTGGAGCTATTTTACTGGGCTAGCTTCTTGCCAATCAGACAGAATACCCGGTGTAACGGTGGATACTACTTATGGGGAATTCGAGTAGTATATTTTCTCGTAATTCCGCTTTACATCTATTGGAAAGTGGGATGTACTGCAGAATTTGTGGAGTGGCTTTGTGGCGTTCGTTTACATTTCACTGATAGTCAGTGAATATCCAGTGAAGTTTAGGAAGACGCGTTCAAGAAGAAGACGGGCGTTTAGTGTCTGTAAACACTATGCATAGGCGAGTTTCACTTTCCTATCCAATAGTCTGTAACTGTTCATTTGATGTTTTCTAATAAGTAACGCCTCAACAAAGCCCTTCTTCCCTTCACTGGTAGCTATGGGTCTTTGGTGATACACGAGTAGTGATTTGACTGCCCAACGGCCTTTAATCTCGCATATCCGGTGGCCTGTGGTGGCCAAGTAGGCCTTGGAGAGAGGGTCGCCCCTTTGAGTTGCGCTTAGGTTGGGTCGTGTACCTATTCCCTCCAACAGCATGGGTGCATAGTCATCAATAGCAGTAAATGCTAATTTGGTGCTTCGTCACTAGAAATTTTAGGACATATTGTTGACTCGGACGGCATACGTACTCTGCCATCTAAAGTTTCCGCCATCTTCGACCTTCCAGCCCCCAACAGAATTAAGAAGTTGAGACACTTCCGTGGTCTTATCAATTACTACCGTCGCTTTATCCCTAACNTCCTGGTTACTGATGCCTCACAAACCGCAGTTGGTGCAGTTCTACAACAGGAGGTCAACGGTGAAATACAGCCTTTATCATTCTTTTCGCATCGCTTACAACCTGCACAGACTCGATATAGCACTTTTGGCCGTGAACTTCTCGCAATCTACTTAGCTGTTCGGCACTTCCGACATATTTTGGAAAGCCGACACATCGTGATTCTTACAGATCATAAGCCGCTCACTTTTGCACTCAACGCGACGTCCGATCGTTATTCACCGAGGGAAACCAGGCAGTTGGATTATATAAGCCAATTCACCAGTGAAATCCGTCATAT